AGTTTGTGGTTCCCATGTCCAGTTAGGAGGTTCCTGTGTACAATTTGGGGTTCCCATTTCCAGTTTGGGGTTCCCATGTCCAGTTAGGAGGTTCCTGTGTACAATTTGGGGTTCCCATTTCCAGTTTGGGGTTCCCATTTCCAGTTTGGGGTTCCCATGTCCAGTTAGGAGGTGCAGACCCAAACCAGGAGGGGATTTTGGTTTGCTTTTCCCGGGATCACAGCGTCCCTGCCCCGTTTCCCTTTGCTGACCGTGCCGGCTTCAGCTTGAATCCCCTGAGAGAGGGGCTGGCTCTGCGCTCCTGCCCGGGGCTGGGGGTGCCTGGGGGGCTGGGGGTGCCCGGGGGCTGGGGGTGCCTGGGGGCTGGGGGTGCCCGGGGGCTGGGGGTGCCCGGGGGCTGGGGGTCTGCCCGTGCCCTGGGGGACTCCCTGTCCTGGGGGTCTGCCCGTGCCCTGGGGGGGCTCCATGCCCTGGGGGGATCCTTGCCCATGCCCCTGGTTGGCTGCCTATGCCATGGGGGGCTCCCTGCCCTGGGGGGCTCCATGCCCATGCCTGGGGGTTCCCTCCCCGTTCCTGGGGGGCTCCATGCCCATTCCTGGGGGCCTCTGTGCCCGGGGGTCTCCATGCCTGTGCCCTGGGGGGCTCCTTGCCCATGGAACTCCGTGCCTGGGGGGCTCCCTGTCCGTGGGGGCTCCCTGCCTGGGGGTCTCCATGCCTGGGGAGGCTCACTGCCCGGGGGTCTCTGTGCCTGGGGGGCTCCCTGCCCGTGGGGGCTCCTTGCCCGTGGGGTCTCTGTGTCCGTGGGGTCTCTGTGCCTGGGGGGCTCCCTGCCCGGGGGTCTCTGTGTCCATGGGGTCTCCGTGCCCAGGGGTCTCTGTGTCCGTGGGGTCTCCCTGCCCGGGGATCTCTGTGTCCGTGGGGTCTCCCTGCCCGGGGGTCTCCGTGCCCGGGGGGCTCCCACCGACCCTGCCCGTCTCTCTCCGCAGCGGGACGTCCCCCCTGGCCTGCCTGAATGCCATGCTGCACACCAACTCCCGCGGCGAGGAGGGCATCTTCTACAAGGTCCCGGGCAGGATGGGCGTCTACACCCTCAAGGTGAGTGCCA